GCTATTCAAAATTCTTACCATTTTAAATCTTTTTCTTACCTTTAGAGGAAGTCTTGTATAAACTAGTATCTCAGTTAGATTTTCAGTTTACTTTTTCTTTACAGTTTTTATAATGAAAAAATTTTAAAGGTATATCCATTGTTATTAAATGCAAAATAGCACCCTTGATGTCACTAAACCACCCAGAACACCCATTTGGAAAACTAAATTTAAAGATTTGGAACAGAGTTTGTTCTCACCAAAAACTGCTTCTGTCAGTATTTGGTAACTGACCAAATACCTGAATAGATTACTACTACAGTACTGAAGGTTTAGGCCACAGTACAGATACTTTCAATTTTAGGAAATACAGTATTTCCTTTAATTTTTTAAAAAAATTTCTTCAAATTTACAGATGAAGACTCAACCTCAAGGCTACTTTTTTTTTTTTTTTTTTTTTTCTGTACGCGGGCCTCTCACTGTTGTGGCCTCTCCCGATGCGGAGCACAGGCTCCGGACGTGCAGGCTCAGCGGCCATGGCTCACGGGCCCAGTCACTCCGCGGCATGTGGGATCTTCCCGGACCGGGGCACGAACCCGCGTCCCCTGCATCGGCAGGCGGGCTCTCAACCACTGCGCCACCAGGGAAGCCCAAGGCTACTTTTTAAACTCTCAGTCAACCATTCAATTTAGAAATGAAATCCTACATGAACAACATAGTCAATTTTTAAAAATTTATCTCCATTTAATAGTGACCCCCTAAAAAGGATAAAAGAAACAATACTACATTCCTAACTCATTTAGAAAGGTATCAAAGAATAATTAATTGCCTTGAGGTTCTATGCACTTGTACAAAACACTGAGCATTAATACAGGTTTATTTGTAACACTCATCTTGTCCTCTCACCGAAATTAATATGTTTTTACAATTTAAAATTAATTTCCATAATAGATTTTATTTATCTATATTTTCAGCTAGCAAAGTTCTATATTGTTCTAGCATCCCACCTCCCTATTTTCATGTGTTATGAAGATATAAAGATGATTATTATATTTGCAAAATGTGAGTTTTCAACATTTCAAATCTAGATAAACCTATGACTTGACAGATTATTTTTCTCCTGCATGTCACACAAAGTTATAATAATTAAATAAGAGGTTTCAACCCACTGAAATTTCAAATAATCTTTTATAGCTTTGATTTTAAGATAAGTGCAATCTGAGCTTTAAAGATGTTTCTTTTTTGTTTTAAATGTTTAATTATGCAAATAAAAGTCTTCCTTGGGGACTTCCCTGGTGGTGCAGTGGTTAAGAATCCGCCTGCCAATGCAGGGGACATGGGTTCGAGCCCTGGTCCGGAAAGATCCCATGTGCCATGGAGCAACTAAGCCCATGCGCCACAACTACTGAGCCTGCACTCTAGGGCCTGTGCATGCTGCAACTACTGAGCCTGCATGCCGCAACTACTGACCCTACATGCCACAACTACTGAAGCCCGCATGCCTAGAGCCCATGTTCCACAACGAGAAGCCACCACAATGAGAAGTCCGCACACAGCAACGAAGAGTAGCTCCTGCTCATTGCAACCAGACAAAGGCCGTGTGCAGCAACGAAGACCCAATGCAGCCAGAAAAAATTTTTTTAAAGAAATTTAATTGTAAAAATTAGTATTTATTGAGTACCTATAACATACCAAGCTTTCTTTATGTTAGACATTTTCATATACACTTCATCTACACTTCAATCCTCTAAGTTGGTACTATAAATCTACATAAACACAAGTAAACAGCACAAGTAACCCCTGGAGGTTAATTAACCTGTTAGAGAGTGTCCAAACTGGAATCTGAATCTGAAGCCAGATCTTCATATAACACATAACAACATAGAGTACATGTCTGTACTATACCAAACTGATTTCCAGGCTTTGAGTACTCTTAATCCTTCTTAAAAACCCTTTCCTCCTTTTGTTTACAGCACAGTCTATCCCTGATATTTCTCTGTCCTTTCTATTCTTTGTTTGTCTTGCTGGTTCTTCTTCCTCCTCCCTAGGATTTCTAGACTTCAATATTTCATCTTCACTTCAAGGTCGCAAGTCTACTCTTATTAAACAACAGAACCTTAGGAAACTCCAAACGTAAAATAATAATGAACTGCTTCTCACTCATCACACTGACTTACGTAACACCACCTCTGTTGGCTGTTCTCCTGCGGCTGACATTTCTTCTCAGCTGACATGACCTCCCTACCCATTTCTACCCTTTAAGATTGGAGTCTGCCAGAGTTCAGTCCCTGAACCTGCTTCCTCTTCCTACCCTATAGACTCTATAGAACTAGCTCATCCATTTCCATGATATCAACAACCATGATGATTCAAACCTTTCTCTCCGGCTGAGGCTATTATTCCCTGAGCTTCAGACTGTATGTCCAACTGGGAAAAAAAAAAAAAAATCCACACGGATGATATTTCACAACTATATCTAAACATAGTCTCTTCATCTTTCCCTCAAAACTTGTCTTCCATTTTATCTTCCCTTTCTAACCAGTAATCCCAGTCAGAAATCTGGAAGTCATTCTAAAGTCTTCCCTTTCCTTCAAATGATTCTAAATTCTTAACACTTGTACATCTGTCCCTTTTCTCTGTCCTCATTTACATTTCTTCCTTACCTCATTTCTCACCTGAATTGTTGGTATATAGAAGGGTCTCAAAAATATTTGTTGAGTGAAAAACTAATAAACACAATTGTCCCACTAATAGCATGGACCATGTCTTATTCATTTTGGAGCCTCAGAACTGAGTTGACATGCCACCCCAGCAAATCTACTGAATGAATCATTCCAAGGTTCCCATACCCAAATTATACTCTTAGGAAACAAGAACCAGGAATTGATTTTTAACAGTTCTCTGGATGACTCCTATATAACCAATCCAGCAACAGCCTTTAAGAACTAATGAATTAATAGTAAGTCCATTACCATGTTGAAAGGGAGCGAACTCAGAGGCAGAAATGGAATTAAAACTGCTTTTCTCCCATCTCTCCACAGACCTAGGATAAACAGACCTCTCACAGACATAAATATATGTAATTCTTGAATCATCTCCTACTATAACCATTCTTTGCTTAACTCGGCATCGTCACTCAGTTAACATACTGCAAAAGCTCACTTCCACCTTGTAACCCCACAAACTATTCTCTAGACAGAAGTCAGAATGATCTTTCTAAAAGGCAAATCAGAGCATGCCACCCTCCCCTTACCTCATTGCACATCCCAGGGATAGTTTCTCCTCACACTGTAAGAACAAAAACCAAAATCTTACTCTAGTTTACAAAGCCTTAAATAAATAATCTGGCCCCTGCTTATCCCTCTGGCCTCATATCGAACACTCTCCTGGTTTTACTGTCTACACTGCAAAATATACCAAACTTTTAACAACCTTAAAATTTTTGCATTTGCTATTTCATCTGTCAAGAATGGTCTTCTTCCTGATCTTATCATGGCTGCTACCCCCCTGTTCCTATTCAGCCTCAGCCTAAAATGTCACCTCTCAGAGAAGCTTCCAAACAATCAAAAGTAGCCTTCCAGGGACTTCCCTGGTGGCACAGTGGTTAAGACTCTGTGCTCCCAACGCAGGGGGCCCGGGTTCGCTCCTTGGTCAGGGAACTAGATCCCACATGCATGCCGCAACTAAGAGTTCGCATGCCATAACTAAGGACCCTGCCTGCCGCAACCAAATAAATAAGTAAATAAATATTAAAAAAAAAAAAAAAGTAGCCTTCCAGTCACACACCTCAACACTCTATTTTAATTTCTTACAAGGCGTTTATTCACAAGTTGATATTCTCCCTGTTTATCTGTTCTCTATTTCCTGCCTACAAGAATGCATTAAGCTCCATGACAGCAGTGAACCCGCTTTGATAGTAAATTCATTCATTACTTTAGGCCCAAGGCTTAGAACAGTCCTAGCATACAGCAGGTGCTCATATATACACTTGCAATCAATCTACTCTTATTTGAGGATCATGAACATATAAAGTTCTGACTTTATCAAAGAACAAATAACAAAATTTCATTTTTTAATAAATATATCTGCTGAACAAATCCAATTTGTCTATATTAATGGGAAGGTAAAATTCAAACAAAAAAATTTTTAGATATTCTATATCAGGGAATTACAAAAAATAACCAATGTATCTAAAAATTATATTCACACCAAAATCAGGTTATATTTTTTCAGTCACCAGTTTAACCTACTTTAAAGTTGTTACACATTGTACCAGCACTATGAGAGGAAAAACCAAAATGTCCATCAAGCAGTAAACAGATAAACAAATTGTGGCATATCCACACAAAGAATACTATTAAGCAATAAAAAGGAATGAATTCTTATTGATATACACAACAATATGGCCGAATCTTAAATTATGCTCAGTGAAAGAAGTCAGGCAATAAAGATTACATACTGTATGATTCCATTTATATAATGTAAAGTTCTAAAATAGTGACAGAAAGCAGATCGGTGGTTATCTGGGGGAGTGGGAAACAAGATGGAAAGATTACAAAGGGGAACTAGAAAGCTTATGGGAATGATGGACATGTTCATTATCTTGACTGTGGTGACTGACTGGTGTAAGCACATGACAAAACTTATCAAACATACACTTTAAATATGTACAATTTATTGGAAGTCAATTATACCTTTACTAAACATTTAAATTTTTTTAAAGAAAATCAGATTAGGTCACTCCCTTGCTTAAAACCCTTCAATGGCTCTCCATCCTCCAAAAATAAAAAATAGAAAATTTGTTACAAGCTTTATCAGCATTACAAGGGAGTTTAACATTTAAATAGAATGAACGGCATACTAATGTAATAAGCTGATTTCCAATAGCTAATAAAAACCAAACACATACTTCAATAGACTTTAATTTTTAACTTCAACAAAAATTGAATAGTAAATTCACAAAAATTAATTTTAAATTTCTACATCAAAAAGCTAAAAATGTGGTAAACTCTCACAATTACCTGTAGAAGACGGTGATTTTTCTGGGTGTTTTGCATTTAAAAGTTTTCTGCTAATAAATATGTAACCACAGGGACATGATTTACATGCAACAGGAACCTGTAGACAAAAAAAAGAAACAATTTATTATTACTATTTTTCTGTTCTTAAACTTCTCAGTGTTTATGTACTCTCCTAAACTGAATGATAAATTACTTGAAGTAGGAATCGTGGATTTATTTAAACCCCACCTCCTGACAACAAATTATGAGATGGGTATTGTGTCCTCTAAATCTTCACATTCTAGTAACACACTGCAATAACCGTGAATGTAGCAGATGCATGGTAAACATGTGCTGATGTGAGTGAACAACAGAAAACCACAATAGGGTCAGAGCCAAGGAAAATATATGGGAAAAAAGGTAGCATTTCCTAAAATATTAGTTTGAAAGCAGTTTATATAGAATAAATTGGAAAAGGGGGCATGATTGGGAAATCATTAAAGTAATCCCAGCATAACATTATGAGGGCCCCACTGGAATAGTGAGAATGGAAATGGAGAGAAGGTAGATCTACAAGACATTTCAAAAGGGTAAAGAACTGAAAACAACCCAGGTTCCAACATGAACAGGTAAGATGCCGATTACTACCAATAGAGAAAAAAAAAAAAAGTTTACAACAACCAGTTTGAGGGGCAAAAGTGTTGTACAAACAAAAGAGAATGTGGGACAAAGCAGGAGTTGAGATCTAGTATCTTACAGTCTCAGCTCCAGGAAGGACGTCGGATAAAACACAAGCTCTTCAGGCTTCTGTTTCTAAATCTGTAAACTATTTTTACAAGTGTCTCCTTTCTCCATTTCAAGTCTGTCAATATTTTTCTAAAGCCAAATGTTAGGGACTTCCCTGGTGGCGCAGTGGTTAAGAATCCGCCTGCCAATGCAGGGGACATGGGTTTGAGCCCTGGTCTGGGAAGATCCCACATGCCGTGGAGCAACTAAGCCCATGCGCCACAACTACTGAGCCTGTGCTCTAGAGCCTGCAAGCCACAACTACTGAACCCGTGTGCCACAACTACTGAAGCCCGAGCGCCTAAAGCCGGTGCTCTGCAACAAGAGAAGCCACTGCAATGAGAAGCTCGCGCACGGCAATGAAGAGTAGCCCCTGCTCACCACAACTAGAGAAAGCCCGCGTGCAGCAACGAAGACCCAACACAGCCAAAAATAATAAATAAATAAATTTATAAAGCCAAATGTTATTGAAAATCATTGAAAAAAGCTTTAGCTTTCCCTCCACATTGTTTCACTAATATTAACCTTAATGATCCTTGGACTCAGGGCACATTCACTGAAAACCAGAAATTAATCTCAACAAAAAGTACTCACAGAATACTAATTACAATTCCCTTTGTAAGATAAGTTCCATTTGCCCACTGTTCTGCTTATGTAAAAGTTTAATCACTACTATAAAGCTTTCATCCACTTATGTAGAGAATGCCTCATGTTCTAGAATATAAATATGTGATCTAAATAAGCTAAATCAGAATTCTGGCAGAATTCCTTTTCTTTGCATAAAAGTACTGAACAAAGAATTCTAGTTTGTATTTATGAAAAATAACAATGAATCTATAAAAATAATCAAACTCCAGGTATGTCTAACAGCTTGCTTTATCAAGAATGTAATGAGGGCTTCCCTGGTGGCGCAGTGGCTGAGAGTCCGCCTGCCGATGCAGGGCACACGGGTTTGTGCCCCGGTTCAGGAAGATCCCACATGCCGCGGAGCGGCTGGACCCGTGAGCCATGGCCGCTGAGCCTGCGCGTTCGGAGCCTGTGCTCCGCAACGGGAGAGGCCACAATAGTGACAGGCCCGCGTACCGCAAAAAAGAAAAAGAAAAAAGAATGTAACGAGATTCTTCCAAACCATGACAGAAAATGTAATGTTACATTGTTACATTTCTTAATAGTGTAAAATCTGCCTAAAATAGGTATGTTTTGTCATTTTAAAAATTTCACATCTTCAGAGAAACCAAGCTCAAAGGTACTGACTCATTTCCTTTATACTTAAACACATCATTAACGGCATCCACGGCAATATAAAATTGTTTTAAGTTAACGCTACCCAAAAAAACACAGAACGTGATGTTCTTATTCAACATACCCTTTGCTACTCAACAACCATTTTCTTTCAGCTACTGAAACTCAACAAATTGAAATTTAATTGTCTTATACACAAAAAAATTATATCAACCCATGTCCAGAATTAAGAGAGTGCTACAGTTAGATGAGAAATGTACATTCGGCTTTGGGATGACTAATTCAATTGACAGGCTGATTTACATCCCTTAATGAAAGTGCCTTATGCTCAAGGAACATTCATGCGCCTGAGCTAAGTCACCCTAAGGTCCTTTTGAAAATGTAAAATTCCTTCCCCTCACACCAACCCTGAAGAAAACCCAACTAACCACCACCACAATACAGATCCTGTAAAAAGAATTATTAAATGAGGCAGACAACTTCAGTTATATTAATCTCTTTAAATTATTGTATAATTTGGATTATAAACAAACACCTAAACTTCCATGAAATTTCAGTTGTAATGCCAAAGACAACAGTAATGAAAGTTCTAATGCTATACTTTCAGGATTTTAAAATGCAAGAAAAAAAATTTGAAGTGTTGTTTACTGATGGCTTGTGAATCAATTTATTCCTTGAAAAATAGGCATGTTTTACAAGTAAGACAGGCTTAAAAAACAAGTACAAAAAACAAAATCCTGACCCTATATTGTTTCACTGACTTTAAAAAGCTCAAAACTAACTACAATACAGAGAATCCATCTATACCCTTTGTTGCTAAGAGCATCAAAGTTACGTACAGCAGACATATTTGCTAAATGTCACATAAAATTTCCTAACATTTTTTCCTAAAAGGGGGATACAGCTGATGTAATAAAGAAAAAAAAAAAAAAAAGCAAAAACAGAAACATGCACCAGAGATCCCAGAAAAATAATAAGAATCCTGACTACTACTACACTCAAAATGGCTCAGTAACTTGAGTTAGTGGATGTGAAACCCGTTGAAAATGAAAAGTATTGTGGTTTAGATGTTTCAGAACTATATTTTCAAATGAGGGAATGTAAAAGGGGATGTAATAAAGCAACTGAAAATCTAGGTCTTTCTTGTTTGCTGATCTCTGTACCTGTTTTTAAACTTACACACACATCAGACAGAACTTATGTAAATCTACTCAACTGAGGCAATTTCCTCAAACTTTAAAGATTTTATATTTATGTTTATAAACTATATCTAAATTCTAATTTAATATTCATCAGGCAACTTAGAATTAACAGCAGTATTCTAAAGCTTTTTTTTTAAAGTGGCTTTCTGGATTATAAATTTCTTCTCATTTATAAGAAACCTGTACTTTCAAATAACTAAAAAACTAAAATTAATCTATTATTTTCTTCAATTGAGTTACTTTTAGTAAAAGATAAATCGCTTTTAAGAATCACCAAAAGTTTGAATTAGTCACCATGTATGTTATCTTCTCTTAAGTATTTAGAATAAAGAACACTACAAACCAACATTTTAAATTACGTTGTTGTAGCCTGTTATGGAATGAACTGTGTCTCCACCCCCCAAAAACACCCCAGCAACAAATTCATACGTTGAAGCCCCAACCCCACAACGTGATAGTATTATTTGGAGATGAGATAATTAGGTTTAGATGAGGTCATGAGGGTGGAGCCCTCAGGATGGCATTAGTGTCCTTGCAAGAGACACCAGAAAGCTCTCTTTTCTGCCAGGATCTTGGGACTTCCAGCCTCCAGAACTGTGACAAAATAAATTACTGTTGTTTGAGCCACCCAATCTATGGTATTTTGTTATGGCAGCTGGAGTGGAGGCTGTGTGTGTAACAACAAAACAGAATGTGATATTTCCAAATAAAATGCTGATCACGTTTTGTTGAATAGTTACAGGGACTCCTACAAGTTTACTATCCTTTCCTCTTTTTTTAACAAGGATATTAAAAACAGGTTATTTTCCCCAAAAGGTTACTGTATGCCAAATACAACAAGGTCAGGATTTGCAATAAATGATGCCCTACAGAAACTGGAATGCATAATGCATACCATGTAAACCTTATACTTCTGCACAATTAAATGGAACATACGGAAATGATTTAAACATTGAAATAATCTTCGACAAGGAGACATAAATAGAAAAGTCCAACTTTTTCAGACTTTAACAAATTTAGTTTAATGGTAAGAATGGAAATTTAGGACCTCTCTGGTGGCGCAGTGGTTAAGAATCCGCCTGCCAATTCAGGGGACACAGGTTCGAGCCCTGGTCCGGGAAGATCCCACATGCCGCGGAGCAACTAAGCCCGTGCACCACAACTACTGCGCATGCGCTCTAGAGCTTGTGAGCCACAACTACTGAAGCCCTCGCGCCTAGAGCCCGTGCTCCACAACAAGAGAAGCCACCGCAATAAGAAGCGCGTGCACAGCAATGAAGAGTAGCCCCCGCTGGCCGCAACTAGGGAAAGCCCCATGCGCAGTAACAAAGACCCAACGCAAACAAAAATTAAAAAAAAAAAAAAGAAAGGAAATTTAACTCTGTTTTGGAAAACATGGCTAAATTGTTTTTAGAATGCATACTCAATAAACTCATACAATCAATAAACCGTAATTCTCCTTGCACAGTCTTCCTCTGATCAGCAAATTTATCATTGCCCATAAAAGATACTGAATAAAATATGTAACATTTTCTGTTAAAAGATTTGATCAACCTTTAAGCTTGCTCCTTAAAGTATGCACTAAAATCAACTTATTAAAAAAGTCTTCAGGGGCTTCCCTGGTGGCGCAGTGGTTGAGAATCTGCCTGCCAATGCAGGGAACACGGGTTCGAGCCCTGGTCTGGGAAGATCCCACATGCTGCAGAGCAACTGGGCCCGTGAGCCACAATTACTGAGCCTGCGCATCTGGAGCCTGTGCTCCGCAACAAGAGAGGCCGCGATAGTGAGAGGCCCGCGCACCGCGATGAAGAGTGGCCCCCGCTTGCCACAACTAGAGAAAGCCCTTGCACAGAAACGAAGACGCAACACAGCTATAAATAAATAAATTTAAAAAAAAAAAAAAACTTATAATAAACTGCTAAAGAAAAGTTCAATGATAAATTTGCGTTTTAAAAAAAGCATCTTTGTTATTAAACAACAAAGACTAAAAGAACTTTACATCTAAATGCCCAAGAGCATACTTAAATACACATAATGAGGAACAAAGATTTAAAGTGGGAATGCAATAGGTCAAATAAGATGTAAACTGTCTCCACAGATGTCAAAAAGTACCCCAAAAAAAAAAAAAAAAAAAAAAAAAAAAGTCTTCAGCCATTTCAAATTACTCCTGATTTTTAAAAAAGGAAAGAAAGAAAAAGGGAGAAGAGGTAATCATTTTGAAAAAATCCTCTCAGTGGAAAAGAAAAAAACACACCCAGATCCGCATGTTGGCGTGAAATAGGGCCCTTACTAATGCTTTTAACTGAGAGTCTTAACTCATTCGATTATAAGGTTTAGAGGAACTTCTATTATTCTAGTAAAAAATGAGGCATCCTTAAACTAAAACGGTAAGATGAGATTTTTTTTAACTTACAGCTATGACACCAGTAATTCTGTGTAGAAAGCAGTCATTTAAAATTCATAAAACCACATATATATATTTAAGAAGATCTGGAAGCAGAAAATGCCACATTTTTAACAGTGGATACCGCGGCGGGTAGGGGGAAGTGAGGAACGCTCAGGAAGGGCTTCAATGGGGGAGTCATTCAATAACGTTCCATTTAAAACAATGTACAGAAAGGATTCACGATTATTTACGTCAAAAATATAATAAATATATTTAAGAGAAAAAATCTCCATATTTCGCCAAAACTTAAAACTATTACACTGCGGGCCTTTCTGTCACATTTAAGCATCCTCCCAGGTCGCAGGGGGACAGTTTTGGGGGTCCACTGTACACATCTGAAACGGGAACAAAGCAACCCTGCCTGGCAGAAGGCGGATTTCGGAGCCAGGAGCCCAGACTCAGTCGACACATCGGGGATTCTCTTCGGGGCAGGAGGGGGCTGAGGGACCGAACTCGTCCACTTGGGCTGCGGCCCCACACTCCTGCCGCTGTCACCGGAGCCGGATAGGCGATTCGGGGAGGGTCCGAACAGGGCGCCCCGTCAGCTCACGATAAATCCACGCCCCCTCTCACGCGGCTGGCCACAGGGCAAGATACTCGCCCGTCGGACCGCCGCCAGGTGGGCACCGGCTGGGCCGCGGCCCCGGGCGCTTCCCCGGCAACCCCTGGGCTCTACCCGGCCGGTTGCGGGCTCCCATCGTGGGCAGAGCTCGAGGGCCGGCCCACACGCTCAGCCGCTGGGACCCCGGCGAGGCGGCCTCTCCACAGCCAGCGGCCGCCGGCACATTCGCCCGCCCGCGCGCACCCGCCCCACCGGCCCGTGTGCCCAGTGCCCGGCCCCCGGCGCCCACCTGTTGGTCGCACTCGGGGCATGATTTGGTGGCCATCTTCACTTTCTTGGCTCGAGTTGCAGACATGCTCCTCTCTGGTGGCAGCGGCGGCGACGGCAGTGGCGGCGGCGGCGGCCCGGGCTCCGCCCCTCGTACTTCAGCAGCCCAGCCTCCGCCCGTCGGTCCCCGCTGGCCAGAGTGAGGCTCTGAAGAGCACGCGCGCGCGCGTGCGCGAGCTCGCGCGGAGCCTGCGTGCTGAGGGGGCGGGGCGCGGCGTGCGCGGGCTCCGAGGGACAGCGGAACACGCCCCCACCCACGCCGCTCCGGTCCTCTAGGGCGTACCGATTCTCACGAGAGGAGACCGACTGGATCGTCCGGCGGGATGATGGACACGCCCTCTCTGGGCCAGACGAACGGCGTGGAGGCGTGGTTTGGCCGGGACTCAGCAGTAACGGGCGTCAGGCTCGACCAACGAATGCACAGACAGGGCAGGTCGTGGTGCTGAGCCCGCCCCCTCCCCCGGAGGAAGGAGAACGTGAGTGAAAAAGGCGGTGGGAGGTAAAGTGCTTGGCCCAGATCCTGCCGTTTGATAAACTTCAGTAAATGTTAGCGAGTCTAATCATTGAGGAATTGTAATAGACATCTGATGAATCTGCTATATGCCAGCCCTGGACTCGGTTCTGCGAGGTATAAAATTCGTTAAGTCAAATATGTATTGAGGGCCAATTCTGCCACACAAATGTGAATACTAGGAGGTGCCTGCCCTCAAACATGTAGTCTAGAAGTGTAAACGGCCCAGCATTCGAATACAGGGGATTTGGGTTGTTGTTGGAAAGAATAAGTCGGTTGACTAGAGTGTTATATCAAAATTTAAAATTCACCTCGCCTTTGATCTTGCAATCCCATACCTAAGAATTTGGAAAGATACTCTCCATGTGCTCAAATGGATTTGTGCAAAATGTTGCACTTCGCAGTGCTGCTTTTCAAAGCAAAATCAGAAACAGCCCATGTGTCCATCAACAGATTGCTTGAGCAAATTAAGTTATGCATACAACGAAATGTCATTGCAGTTCTTCAAAAGAATGATAGTTCCGTATGTAAAGTGATATAATGATCTCCAAAATAGTATTAACTGGAAAAACAAAGTATAGTACACCTTGTTTAAGACTGTGCAAAAATAATATGAAAATTATTTATGCTTGCATATACATTAAGAAACTGGCAATAGGAACTGGAGGGCAGGAAGAGGAGGGAGACATATTCCATATCCTATTGTACTATTTGAATTTTTTACTAGGTTAACCTAATATTACCCCCCACCCCCGCAAAAGGGAAAAGGATTTGTACACAGCTAATGAGGTCACCTGACCCACTGTTGAGGATGTTGGTGGTCCTAGAAGGCTTTCTAGAAGAGTTATCTCCAAAACTGAATCCCTAAGTAAGTCAGGTGGAGTTGCCCAACCAAAAGTGAGAACTCACCAGGCAGATGAGACAGTGTAAGCAAAGGCAGAGAGGTCAGGAGTTTAGCATTGTGAGCACACCAAGTGCAAGGCAAACAGTTAAAGCTGGAGATGTGGATCATATCCAGCTATGCAGGCAGGGTCTTTGCTACCATGGGAAGTTTGGACTTCATACTGAGTTCAATGGGGCAGTAAGGGTTTTAAGTTGGGGAGTAACAGGATTATATTTGAAGTTGATAATGATTGGGCCAGAAAAATACTTCAGGTTTTAGACCTGAGGCATGGGGAGAGGATGGACCATAAAGAGAGGGGTGGAATTTTTAAAATATGAAGGCCATAATATTATCAAAACTTAAGGAGCTATTTTGCTGGGGGAGAGTGGTGGTCATGGACATTTTCAGGATGACTCTGAGGTTTCTAATGCAAAGAAATGGAGGAATAGAAGTAGCAGAGGAAGATAGTACCTCAGTTTTCCCTGGAGAATGGTGTAGGGCATGAATCGGGAACCCAGGCCCAGCAATCCTGGCCCTGAGGAGTTTTCTGAAAATTTCATTTGACTGGGTCCTTTTTATGGAAATCTCCCCAAAAGGGCACTTGGCTGGTGTGGGTGTTAAGGAAGAGGTCTTCATCTCTGTGGGGCTTTTGAAGTGCTTTACATGGCAGGCACTGACAGCTGTCTGATGCAAACTCCATCCAGGTCCCCCCTTCTCTCTAGCCATCTTCTAAGTAGGAGTGGGTCATGTGGTGTTATCTCTGGCCAATAAGATGTAAACCAAAGTCTGCTGAGTGAGATTTTTGGAAAGGCTCTGAGTTCCTGATAAAAATGAAGTGATTCAAGACCAAAAAAACCTCTTTGTCCTCTGCCTTTCACACTTTTCTTACTGTCTGGAGCATGAATATGAGGCCCTAGAGGTAAAGCAGCCATCTTATGACAGTGAGACAATGAGGTATTGTATTAGTTATCTATCATTTCATAACAAATTACCCCCAAAATTAACGGCTTAAAACAGATGTGGTTCTGCAGTCTCATCTGAATGCTCAACTAGGGGGAGATCCACTTCTAAGTTCATTCATTTGATTGTTGGCGGCCACAGTCCCTCATCACATGGGCTCTTCAGAGACGTGCCTCGAAACATGGCAACTGGCTTCCCCTAGAATGAGTGATCCGAGTAAGAAAGACAGAAGCCACATTCTTTTTATAACTTAATCTCAGAAGTGGCATCACATCACTTCTGCTGTATTCCGTTAGAAGCAAGTCACTAAGTCCAGCCCACACTCAATGAGAGGAAATTACACAAGGGCAAGAACACCAAAAGGCAGAGATCATTGGGAGCCATCTTAGAGGCTGGCTACCCTAGGTGCCATGCATGGAATTATCATCAATCCACTAAGAAGGATGAATAGAAAACTAGAAAGTGCCTGGGTTGCTCATTGTTGAGTAGCATCCCAGTTGTGACCTGCCTCCCCAGATGCCCTATAATGTGAAAGGCAGAAAATAGCTCAAAATAAGATTCAGCTCCACACCCACTAGAATAGATAAAATTAAAGACTAATAACATCAAATGTTAGTGGAAGGGGGTATAAAATACTGTAATTACTTTCGAAAAAGGTCTAGGAAAACTAAATATACACATAGCCTATGACCCGTATTTCCAATCTTAAGTATTTATTTGGGAGAAATGAAAATATATGTCCACAAAAAGACTTGTGCAAGAATATTCATAACAGCTTTATTCATAATGGACCCAAAATGGGGAAAAAAACCCACAAATGTCTATCAATAGGTAAACATAAATAAACAAATTGTAGTATATTCATTTAATGGAATATGAATCAGCTTTTAAAAGGAACAAATTACTGATACAACAAAATGGATGAATCTCAAAAACATTATGCTCAGTAAAAGAAGCCTTACACAAAAGAGCACATACTGTAGTTCCATTTATATGCAGCTCTAGAACAAGCAAAACTATTCCATGGTAGAAAAAAATCAGAGCAGCGTTTGCCTCTTGGAGGATAAGGGTGGGGATAACATGAAAAGGGTTATGAGGAAACTTCCTGGGCTGATAGTAATAGTCTGTATCTTAATAGGGGGTTGTGTTACACAAGTATTGGCATTTGTCAAAATGAAAAGTACTCTTAAGATTTAGGCGTTTTATTGAATTTAAATTTTATCTCAACAAAAACCTTAAGCAAATATTGAACTCTAAGTAATGATATGTATGCTGAAGTATTTAGGGGGAAATGTGCTAATGCCTGCAACTTATATTGAAATGCATAAAAAAAAAGATGGCTACATGGGTAGATAAGTGATAAAGCAAATACAGTATAGTAAAATGTCAGTGGTACAATCTAGGCTGTTGGCGTACAGGTGTCCACTGTAAAATTTAAGTATTTTGTATGTCTGAAAATTTTCATAAATTATAGGAAATAAGACCTACTTTTTAAACCACTGTTCATCAGGTTTTCAATTATCTGCTGTCAAATATATTCCTTACTTACACCATTACCAAAACAAGGGTTTTCTACAAAATGGATGATACTGGCCCTGACACTTATTCATTCATTTAATACTTACTAGGTACCTACTATGTGCTGGACCTTGTGCTCTTGATGGGGATACAACCTTGTGAGTAAAATAAAGTTCCTGCTGTTGTGAATCTCATACAAACACATACTATTATACAAATAAATATATAACTACAGTGATCACAATTATGAAGGTACTATTCTGGGGCTCTAAGGCCACTGACAAGGAGATCTGACCTGTGGTAGGGTGGGGCTTCCCTGTGGAAGTGGAGACTTCCTGGAGGAAATATGCATGATGGGTAGAGTTAATGAGGTAAAGAGGAGTAGCAAATATTCAGCCAGAAGGAACAGCATGGGCAAATTAACTGAGGTAAAAGGAAATGAAAGGAAGCTATTATGGCTGAAGCACCAAAAGAAAGAGGGAGAATCTGACATACTGAGGATGGGTGCTGGAAGAGCCCACTTTCCACTGGCTTTCGATGCTACTTCTAACTTTGCTCAAGATCCTCATGTGTGCTGTTGAAGTGGCTGTAGGTGCTCTAGTCTCATAGAAAGCAAATTAGACCAGGCAGGAACATTTTTTTTTTTTTAATTCCTTTGATTTATTTATTTTTGGCTGCATTGGGTCTTCGTTGCTGTGCGTGGCCTTTCTCTAGTTGCGGCGAGTGGAGGCTACTCTTCGTTGCAGTGCACAGGCTTCTCATTGCAGTGGCTTCTTGTTGCGGAGCACGGGCTTCACTAGCTGTGGCTCACGGGCTCTAGAGCACAGGCTCAGTAGTTGTAGCACAGGGGCTTAGTTGCTCCTTGGCATGTGGGATCTTCCTGGATCAGGGCTCGAACCTGTGTCCCCTGCATTGGCAGGCAGATTCTTAACTGCTGCGCCACCGGGGAAGTCCCCAGGAACTATTTTAATACAGGTATTACGTACTTGAGAAACCAAAATGGCCATTCAAAGCCTTTTTCTTTTTTCTTTTTTCTGTGGCCGCGCCGCTCGCCTTGTGGGATCTTAGTTCCCCAACGAGGGATTGAACCAAAACCCTTGTCAGTGAAAGTGCAGAGTCTTAACCACTGGACCACCGGGGAATTCCCTCAAAGCCATTTTTTTATCCCTTTTTGTAATTACAACCCAAGTTCCTGGGGGGTAAGGGGAGGTGAGATGTAACAGCCTCCATCTCAACTCCTTTATTTTGACACTAAAACAAACCAAAGTTTC